CGAAAACTGCGATATTTTAGTAACTACTGAAGATAATTCACTCAAAATTGATATGTGTAATAACTTTCAGACGAAAAATAAGAATATTATAAATTTTTTGAAAATGGGCGTAGCCACGCCCACTTATGGTTACATGTGTATACCTTGGGAACCGCTGCACCAATTTCTTCCAAACTTGGCACAGTTGTTGGCCTCGACACAGCATACTAAACGGCCGAAAATTTTAAAAAGCGGACAATAACCACGCCTACTTCCCATATAACGGTAATTTCCAGAAATACGAAAACTGCGATATTTTAGTAACTACTGAAGATTATTCACTCAAAATTGATATTTGTAATAATTTTCAGACGAAAAATAAGAATATTATAAATTTTTGGAAAATGGGCGTAGCCACGCCCACTTATGGTTACATGTGCATATCTTGGTAACCGCTGCACCAATTTCTTCCAAACTTGGCACAGTTGTTGGCCTTGGTACAGCATACTAAATGGCCGAAAATTTAAAAAATCGGACAATAGCCACGCCCACATCCCATATAACGGTAATTTAGAGAAATACAAAATCTTCGATAAATCAGTAACTATTCACGCTAATTTATTCAAAATTGATGCTTGCAACAATTCTTTACCAAGAAATATGTTTATGGTAAAATTTTGGAAAATGGGCGTGGCACCGCCCACTTATGATAACATATACGTATATCGGTAACCGTTATACCAATTTGTACCAAACTCGGTACGGTTATTGTGCTTGCCAAATAAAAGCCAATTATTAAAAATTACTGAATTCAGGCTAAAATTACGGCCGCTTTTCATATAACGGTAAATTTCAGAAATGCTTGAAACTTCAATATTTCGAAATTTAAGGACGCTACTCAAAATTGGTACACCCCGGTTTACCATCTAGCGGTAGCTTTTGGAAAGGTGAAAAAACATATATTTAATACTTGCGCCGGGTATTTAATGTTCGGCTCCGCCCGAACTTAGACTTTCTTACTTGTTTAATATATTTTTACTTATTTTTAACCGACTTCCAAAAAAGGAGGAGGTTATCAGTTCGTCGGAATATTTTGTTTGTTTTGGTTTTTATGTATGTTACCGTATAACTTTGGACCGCGTCAACCGATTTCGATAATTCGGAAAGGTAGTGCCTCAAAAGTGGCACCATACTAGTTTGGTTTAGATCCGATCATTGGATCATGAAATATATATATTTATATGAGAATTAGTCGGTGTTGCTTTTTGCTTAAAAATTACTTGTTTTAATGTAATTTTATAAATTGTTATTAAAAAAAAATTATCTAATATATTTTTTTATCTATTGAGTATTTTGGTTTTTCTATACATGAAATTAATTTTACAATTTGTAATTTATATTTAAATTGAAATAACTGACTTACCTTACTCTAACGCCCTCCAACTAATAAATTTTTATGAACGTTTTTTGAAGTATTATAAAAGGTGCGCTATTCAAGTGGCTGGTACTGTATGTATGTATATATCTAATTTTCGGTAACATTTTAAGACCTAAATAACTCCGCCACCTCTTGAACGCTAGCTATGTATGTATGTATTACGTATTGAAAAATATTTTCCCTCTTTGCTCACTTCTGAAAAAAACTCCTTCATTCTTCAAGAATTTTTAAAAAGTTGATTTACTTTTGGCAGAATTTTTGAAAAAAAATCGTTAGGTTGGCTGATTTAAGTTGCAATTTTGCCACCTACCTGATGAATTTCTAAGAAAAAGTTTTATGTTAAAATTTTCTGTGAAAGTCTGAATTTTACGGTTGTGGTCAGAGCTGTCCGCTGACGAATGATCCTGAGAATTGAACCAAATTTGGTGAATCACTTCTGGAACGAACAAATTGTTTATTGTTTGTAGCGTGGGACAGGCTAATATACATACATACGTACATATATATATATATATACACACATGTTTGTACATAAAACCATTCTTCACCACCGAATCGCCTGTCTGGCTGGTTCATCAGCACAACCACCCCCTCGCTGCACTGCAAGACTGCGTTAGCAACAACGCGTTGCGTTCGTGATTAATGGTTCAACCGGGCGTGCGTGCGTCTGAGCGTACGTGCATGAATACGCGCCAAACCCATCGCTTGTCTTGCTGCAAGTGTGTTTATGTGGATTTGTGTTCCTGGTGAACGACTTGTTGCCGACTTTTGGGCGCAGTCTGGTGATTTTTGTCCTGCTGCTGACGCAGTTTCCCTTCAGTGCAACCCTTAGAGGTTAAGGTAATGCCAATTGCAAACATTAGCACATATACATATGTATGTAGGTCTGTATTTGTTGTGCGCATTTTTGTTGGTGGTTGCGCTACTGGCTCAGCAACGCACTGTTTTTGGATTTTATCTGCCCTTCTGCTATCCAAATGTCCTTTCAAGTTTGCGGCGCTTCAGCTGAAATGTGCGCACATGTTCAAATTTTTCGACTTCATCTCTCTGTATGCCCACTTATTCATATGTACATTTATGTACATCCATATATCAATAATAGTAAAATGCGTACGACGCAATTTATTGTTAAGTGAATGAAAGTGCACACACAAATGTCACAAAGATACCCATATCTATCAGACTTTTACAGTAATTGAGGGGTATAACTTTCTAGAAAAAGGGTTTAAAACTGTATGTTTTCCCTTAGTGATCCACAAATGTTTGTAGGCCACTAAATTCAATGTACTTACTTGAAAGTGACAATCTTCATATTGCACATCATTTTATTATTATATATTATTGTATTTTTATTGCGATACATTTCGCAGACGATATTCAAAAGTGACACAACTCAAAATTTTGCATTTTTGAAATTATGCGATAAAAATGTACACAGGGCTTTTACGCTCAGAAAAAAGCATTTCCTTAAAACAAGAAAACAGTATCCTTATTTTAGAGTTACTGTTTTTCCTTAAAATTACGAAAAATTTACTCAATTTGAGAAGTTTTTCCTTAATTCAGGTTCATGCTAAACATAGGGCATCATTAATTTGAAGAAGTAAATTTACTCAATATAAGCAATAACTTCCTTAAATAATTTTTAATTTTTTTGCAGTGCTGCTATAACAAAGGGAATTGCTTTCCTGGCAAATGTATATTTTATTTTCCTAGCATCCTAGGAATGTTTTTTCAGAGTGTATGTACTTTTCAGCAGAAGCTGGAACTAATTTGTTTGATAATTTGTTAAAAAAAACCTAAGGTAAAAACCCCTTGCCCATATGATTATCATGTGCTAAGAAATAGTTTTTCGCATTTTCTGACAAACGTGTAATTTTGAGTTATGTCACCTTTGAACATCCTGTGCGACTTGTTCCTATTTAATCCGTAAATGAGTTGGCCGTTACATGATTTGAAAACAGCTAACCAGCAGTGGAATTCTGACTATAGCAATGGAAAACAGTGGGGCCTAAAGTAACAGATGTAATGTGTAATTAGCTAGAGCTGGTAGTTTGAGGGGCATGTACGATGAAGATGAAGGTGAAGATGTAGATGAATATGAAGATGAAGATGAAGATGAAGATGAAGATGAAGATGAAGATGAA